ACGATGTCAATCAAACGGAAGCACTTGGGTAGAAAACGGTCCGGCGTGGGGGAAGACGCGACATCGTGCCTTGAGGCCTGAGGTTGGCAGGATTACGTAACAAAACAGGGCAACGTAACTAACGTAGTTCAGGAGCCTCAAACATTTGATTGTTGTCGAACAAAACCTCCCCCCCCCAATACTATGTTCTTTTTTCTCCTCTCCCCTGTCAGTTTTCTCCATCTTGTGACCTCTCTAAATGCTTAAACACATATGACTAAGAGCAGTATTTCTGCCAAAAGTGTTCGGCCCTGGAAATATACCCACACCGGCTGATTCTCCCAGATGATGTAGCTTTTGGCCTTATCCCAATCCGCGGCATGGGGATCTAGGCGGATATCAAAGTAGCACATTATAAGGCAGAGTGGTAGACGCATTTCTGCGTATGCGAGGCTAGTTAATTCAGAAGATGTTCTAGGAGAACGAATTTAGCTAGTATCGGGCAGTGGCAATGAGCTTACTTGCGACCCAGGCACGAGCGTAGACCCATGGAAAATAGTTATAGAGCTTCTCGCATGTCAACTTTGAATCGTAGGTCTGCATTGACAGGAAGCTTACGCTCAGGATAAACCGATTTTGGTTTTGCAAAGTTGGACGTGCCGCGGATGCTTGAGTTGTGGGCAACGGAGACGGGGGTCTGGAATGTGAGACAAGATGCAGAGTTAACACCCACAGGATTCTCGATTCAAACTTATTTGAGACAGAAACATCTATCCTCTCCCAGAATGACCTTCTCCGGCAGGTGTTGGCTGCAGACCAGGGCTCCCCCTGCACCTAATTTAGAAGAGCGATGCACTGGAGGAGCCATGACCGATGAGGGTGCGAGAGAAACAGGTTTCTGGGGCTGCTTTTCAGCTTGGTCTTTTATTTCACCAGTTCGTGGCTTTGGTGGACCGGCCAAACTGACTGAATTCTCAGAAGCGGGTTGATTTTGAGCTCCCGGGGTCCACTGGCCGGCACGGGGGCCTACGTTCGCAGGCCTTCTTCGATTACCGCGTTCAAATACGGCAGTCAAACAACATTAGATAACCTCCTCACATTTTTAGAGCTGAAAGAGATGCGGACTTCCTTGGAAAGTTGTCGATAGCAGCCTGGGTTCGTCTAAAAGATAGAATTAACAAAACTGCTAGTGCTGTGGCGGTGGATGATACTGTGAGTCTTTCAGGCACCCAAAGGGCTCACCAAAAGCCAGATCGCCAATGATGTCAAAATTTCAAAGGTCAGGAAGTTCAACCTACTAGATTTATGGGTTTACCCTCATTCTCAATGTTGGCATATTCTTCTAATCGGCGAATGAAGATGTCGATGTTCCCAAGAATCGGCTTCTCCTGGTCGCGCAACGATCGCTCCGAAAACGCATGAGCTAACAGCCGCTTCTGCCGTAAATAACCTGTATCACCGGCACTAATTAGATTAGCAGCACCGCCACTAGAGGGAGGAATGTAGAGATGAGGATCCTAGTTAAAAGAAGGAGCTCTGGACTTACGATGCAAGCATATGTCCATGATCAATTCGCTGGTGGTCTATTTTCAGTGGCCTGTTTTCAATGCCGTAGGCAAGGCTTCTGGGGAGGACCAAAAACTGTCTTGCGCATGCTGTATTCAGCCTAGCTAGGATTATCTTGACCAGAGTATCTGTCTATCACCTAGTATTATATGTGGGTGAGACCTCAGGACCTTGTACATAGTAGTGGTAAATGCTCTCATAAACGTTGGACAACCAACGGTTTATTTACATGGGCATGACAATAGTGCAATAATGTATGATATACCTTCCAACAATCCTAAAAATGTAGTACCTAATATTTCAATCTGTACCGACGTAGTAGCTTCCTGGGGACTTTTTATTTATAGCTGCAATGAAGGGGCAGGAACCCCCTCTGCTGATTGGGGAGGAGGGTTCCTAGCCTTTGTGAAGAACAGAACCAAGCTATTATTTTCTGAACATGGATGATTTTTTTCCCCGGAGACTCTGTCACCGTTTCACCGATGTAGTGATTCTATAGAGCTACTTACTGATCTGTTCTACCAGCACCTCTAGCGTGGTTAGAATAGCCGAGAAATTGCAGATACCTAGCCTTTTTTTCAGCAGGTACTTCACCTAATCAACTGCTTTCAGCCTCAGAGGTAGTGCTATCCTTTGGCCCTGACACTGAAAATTTCCCTCACCGTGGCTCTGGGGCATTGGGCGTGGCCTTTCTGGTGGGCAAAGTTCACTAGCTACGTGGAGGTTGAATCCGAAAGTCCCTAGAATGGCATTAAAGCTGCGGCCCCCTAGTGACCCTAGAATTAGGAGGACACGTAGCTCTCTTCCTCGGGAATCAGATAGTCCGGGGAAACTGACCGAGTATAGAAGAAAATGGCCGGCGTCAATCCTACATTGGGTTAAGCATGTCCGCTCGCTCAAAGCTGCTGATGAGGTGGATGACCACGAATTCTTGTTCATCATCGGAAGCATCTGCCATGCCGGCGCCGATATCATCACCACGTATCTTCTTGAGAGAGATGATATTCAGTCTACAAATGAAGCTGTAGATGAAACTGGAGATCTCTGGATGCGCTGTAGAAGAGAGAAGCTATCTACAGGTTTAGCTAGACTAAGTACTAGGAGCAAACAAAGAAGTCATGTGACTACTAACACTTCTTCTATTCCTGATGGCAGCCATTTTGCAGCCGGCAGATATTGAGACTGCGCAGGTTAAGTTGGATCAGGTCTTCGGCCAAAACAAAATCCCCGGGCCTCCAGGACTTTGGGAACTTGCCATGCACTGAGGCTTTTCGAAGTGCTTCGCTGGCGTCCGCTTGCCGCTCAGATTCAGAGGCCAAGATGTCTCTCCTCCGGGACCGTTGAATATCCCTTTCATTGAAAACCTTCACTGATACCCTAAGTATTCACTTCGCTACGTATCGACGCAATGGCACAAGAAATATGGCCCAAGCATCCGAGTTCAGTTGGGCTGACCAACGATGATCAGCCTGGGAAGACTGGAGGTTGCCATGGACCTCCTGAGGAGACGAGGCCGTGTGTATAGCTTATATCCTCCATTTCTCATGGCAGCAGTCTACTTGACCCGTGGAATTTATACTGGACTCATTATCTACGGCCCTCGGTGGCGGGCACACAATCGGATTGACCTGTCTCTCTTAGGCCCACGCAAGACTCAACATTACCAAGAAGTTATCGATAGAGAATTTACCCGCACCCTTCATGATCTTTTACATGGCACCGACTTCCTATGGCCTTTTATCTGCTTTTCGTCGAGTGTCATCTGGGCTTTGCCATATGGAAAGGAATTGGCTGGTGATGAGGCTAACTTTCAGGAAATGCGAGCGGTTATAAATCAATTCACCGGCGCTGTTTCTGTAGGGGCGTGGCTATTTGATATGTTTCCGATCCCGAACATTCTTCCTAAGTGGTTAACCCCGTGGAAACGCACGGCGATGAGTTCCATACCCGCGCATCCCGGCTATTCAACAAGAACAATATGGCTGCCTTGAAGATTGACTCCTGGAACTTTGCTCGGCACATCATTGAAGCGGAGGACACAACGGGGTTGTCACGAGAGGAAGTACCATAAATACTGGGCGTTTTGCTGAAAGGCGGAATCAACACACCGTCTACTGCCCTCTGCAACGTCGTTCTCGCATGCATCTCTTGCCCTAATGTGACTCAACTGGCGCAATCAGAGCTTGACCGTGTATTTTGGCACGACGTGGCTCCCTTGCGCGGACGATTTATCGCATCATCGCTTTGTGAGGGCCTTCATCCGCGAAGTGCTGCGCTGGCGTTCGTTGGTCTCAAACGGCGTGCTGCGCTGTATCTCTGATGAAGAAAGATCCTTGCCGAGGGTATCACAGTAAAAAGAGTCCGATAGTTATGTTCAATCACTGGGCAGCTCATCTAGACGAAGATGTCTACTCGGATGCCACAGTAGTAGAACCAGAGCGCTGGATTCAACCCCCTAACCTCCCACTTCGGCCATTCGGTGTAGGTCTAAGAGCACACCCGGGATAACATCTCCCTCAAGCCTCCCTTAGTACTATGATACCTCCAATTCTGTGGGCGTTCAATTTTGAGCATGGTCGTATAGATGGCGTGCCGATCGATTTTGAGCCGTTAAACCTGACGCAAACAGGGACTTTGCTCTAACCGAGTCCATTCAGGGCAATCACTAACACTTCGAGATGAGCACGCTACGGCAGTGCTCCACCGTAAATTCCATTCCCAGGACAGGAACATCAACACTTTCCTTGATCGTATTGGGTCAGTAGTTGGCTATCTATTCCACAAGAAAGAAAGGCACGATAATTCCCAGTCGATCATATAACATCAGTCAACTGGCAAATGTTGAATTTGAAGTTCTTCATCAGTCACCTCAATAGACAGCTGATGATGACCAGGGACGTTCATAGCGAGTTTTCCGCTCTCCATTGACTTGTTCTATCTTACCTTTTATCACGTACAGAAGTATCGGTTCAACAATGTCATATATTACTCTCACTCGAATGACCCATCTGAGAATTTCCAAAGATGCCAACTTGTAAAAGCCCTACCCCAATGGCTTAAAGGTCATGGCCGTGCAGATCAGGCTGACATAAACGAGCACTGCCAAGAGGTGACCCTCCGACACCACAGAGATACTCTTTGTCATAGAAACTTCAGCCCTTCATTCTCTGTGATCTGATGTTATGCTCCGGAATTCTCATTCAGAAAGCCAAGGGAAGGTTGTTCGGGATTATTCCCCTTGACAAGTCGGGATGCCTGTGACTCAGGAGTTGTCATTTTCCCTTTCTATAGACCAAGTCCCTCTAACAGTCCCCCTCTAACTCGGACATGGCCTGGCTTCATTGCTCAATACAATCATTGTACGATCAAATGCATTCTTCATATTTCCAACCCTACTAGCTCATCACACTGTTTGCTATTCCACCTTTGCGCTCCAAAATCCCACATCTATCGCCATGCGACAACCAGCAAAGCCCATTCCGTCGCCCTTCCAGTCTTCCATTGCGAAGCCAGGGCAGGGCACAGTCGTCCTTTCTCTCCTCCCACCAAATAACCCAACCTTCACAACCCTCACCTACAAATACCCCTTGAAACTAGTTCCACGCACCGGCGGCTTCGTCCCATCCCCAGACTCCTCCGCCTTCTCAGACACACGTCCCTCCAACCCCGTCCACCTTTACCTCCTCACCTATGGCGGTGGGCTTCTGCCAGGTGATCAAATTGCAGTATCCATCAGGCTCGAGCCCAAGACACGAATGGTGGTAACGACGCCACAAGGCAGCACCAAGATCTTCAAAACAACACCAAACAACACCGGCACCGCCCCAAATGTCATCAAAGGCCACCGTGATCCAAGGCCCGCAAACGACCACCTCTTCAACATGAGCCAGCAAACCCTCGACGTCAATATCGCCCGCCAAGCAGCCCTCTGCTACCTCCCAGACCCCTCCGTCCCCTTCCAACACAGCCGCTACGCCCAAATCCAAACCTTTACTTTAGACGCCACAGCAAAAGGCATCGAGCGCAGCAGCCTCTGCGTCCTAGACTGGGTAACTCAAGGCCGCACCTCGCGCGGCGAAGACTGGAATTTCCACTTCTGGCGTGGACGCAACGAAGTCTGGGCCGAAGATGACAAAGGCAAACGCCGACTCCTCCTGCGCGACTCGGTCATCCTTGACGATGAATCCGGAGACCTGAAAGATATCTCCAAATCCGACGAGATCGGGATCAAAAACGACAAGACCACCCATACCGGTCTAGAAACCCCCGTCAACATACCGCCGCCGGCGCCGGCCGGCCTAACGCCGCTGAATCTCATTGCGGAGCGCACGCGCCCGCACGGCGTCATCGGCACGCTTATCCTCTTCGGGCCTGTGTTCGAGGCGCTTGGTTCGTTCATGCTGAATCTGTTCCAGTCGCAGCCGCGCATCGGCAGTCGCAATTGGTCAGACCATGCGCCGTCGTCGGTGCCGGGGCCTTCGATTGGCCAAAATGCTGATGTTACGTGGACAGCAGCGCGCGTGCGCGCTGGCTTCGTGCTTGTCAAATTCGGTGCTAAGGAGTTTGAGACGGCGAAGCGCTGGCTTGGTGGTCTGATTCGGGAAGAAGGGAGTGTTATCCGCGAATTCGGTGAAGAGGCGCTCTGCTGTCTATGAGATCTGATATCCACGAGTTTTTTCATGTCTGATGTGTTTCGTTGCTGTTGAGATGCCTCTCCGCTGGTCGAAGGCCCTATTTTTTATTTTTATTTTCTATTTTTTTCAAATCTCAGATTAGTTTCAGGTTATGTGGGGATTGTGTCCTTTGGTTCATGTATGTTAATTTGATCTTGCTGGAAATCTACAAGGCGTCAATACTGGATATTGGCCATCAAGGGTATTGGGAAACACGACCCGGATTGAGGAAACAACATCATCGCTTATGTGCTAAATGCGACAGACACCAAAATTGAATTTTTAGCGAATTTGAACTGAAGAATTGTTCCCACAAGCTATATTCTCTTCTGTCTCTTTTGTTTACCAAACTAGCATCGGTACCCGAACTTGAAAAGCTGCATCTACATTTTGATTGATGCGTAGCACCATTGAGAGATGAAGCAAGTAGTCTATCGACAAAATGAAGCAAGAACGCCGAAGAAAAAAACAGGCGAGGTATCGTAAATCGGACAAGAAAGCTCCAACGCTAGTTGAATCCAGCCCATAATCCCATATTTTATCAAAAGTATGAGCAAAAAGAAAGGAAGAAAATAATTTAAAAAAAACGTACACCACCTATCAGTGCGTAGCCATCATGGCCACCAATCTAAAACCTTGGTATTCCAATCCCCCTTAGTAGCATCAACCAGATCATCGACATTTAGAATATCCACACCCTCCTGCGCAAGCACGCGCCAGATATGATTCCGCAGACTGCGAGGCCAGCTTGGCAGCGCCCAGTAGCGCACTTTCAACCCGTGCTGGTGCGCAACGCGCACCTGGCTGCGGATGCGGTCCATCTGGCGCTGGGTGAAATGGAAAGGCCAGGGACGGCCGATGGCTTTTTTGAAAGACACAGACGCATAGAAGCTGTTCGAAGTGTTGAAGGTAGATGCAGCGATGATAGCCGGCATACCAGATTGGCCTTGGCCTAGGTCTGTGCCCGGGATGAGGGCTGCGTCTAGCTGGGGGTGGGTATCTGGTTGGTCAGCGTCGACGAGTTTATCGAGCGGGGCGTCGAAGAAGATATCGCGGTAAGTGGTATTTGCGGTGACAACATTGAAGGGTGTATTTCCTGTTCCGACGATGGTGACGGGACCTTGGATGAGGTCATCGCCGTTGAAGTGAGTTAGATAGCCGCGGTCACGGAGCGGAGCGAGCTGCTTCATGACGGCGCGCCAGGTTGCCGGGCCTTCGGTTTTAAAGTCGATTAGAAGGATGAGCGACTGGGCCGGGTCTGTGTCGAAGACACCGTGCGCAGGGCTGGTGCCTCCTTGGCTGAATTTGTTGGTTGGATTCTGGCGCTCGAGGATGGTTACTAGCGGGTCAATGTACATCGATTGTAGGGTTCTGCGTTCTGTCAGAGATGAAGTACTGTGACCGACGTAGAGCTCGTCGTCGAAGAGCCAGACATCGGCTTCGACACCTATGCATCCCGCTTGCAGTGCAGAGTACAGTGGTACTCGGCGCCAGTAGTCGTTATGAGAGTGGCAGCCAACAGGAACGATGTCGCGCGTGAGGTCGGTCGGCCAGCGCGTGTTATCTACGGTGCTGATGCTGTCGGCGCTAGCTAGCCAATACTGAACTGCGCGGTCGTATTCATCCGGGAAGAACGAAAGGACGATACCACAGGTAATGGAGATGAATTGGATGATGCCTCTGTCATGACAGATTAGTGGGTGGGTTTCATCGATACGGTCTGCCTAGTTCTTGAAAACTCACAGCATGATCAAGATTCCAATAATTGCACGCCGTAGACTATGCAAGTATCGCGATCGACAAGATCGCTTGCGCTTGGATGGGTCCGATAGCACGGGTGTAGAAGACCAAGCCAAGGCCGTCCAGACTTGACACCATGAGCGGGTCGGATGCCCCACTCGCTCAACAGGGTCAGGCCCATTGAGGTTCGGGACTGTATCCAATGAGTCTTTGTATGGATCGAAGTGCAAACTAGAGACTGAATGGCTCTGAAAAAGGCGGAAATAGGACATCGTGAATTTGAAAGCTAGAAAGATTAAACCAAAAAAAAAAATTCCCAAAATTTATAAGCAAACGAAGGCAGCCATAATTAGCGGGGGGGATTCGGACTCCAGGCAACCTTGGATTGTGTTTTGGTTACATCTACTTGACGATAGTACACGTGTTGGATAGTTGATGCTGATTGACCCGTTGGGGAATTAAATTCCCCCCCCCCCACAAAAAAACCCCCGATTTCCCTATATACAAGTACACAAGTACACAAATTCAATCCCCCCAAAACACCGATGGGTTCAGATGAACACACTTTGTTTTTTTTTTTATAGATTTACTCCTGAAGAGACTTGACATAGGTAACAGCCCGTGCCTTGACCTCCTCAACCATCTTCTCATCTCCATCGGTAGCCAAACCCTCCTCAAAGGAAAGCCATTTCTTAAAGAGGAAGCGGGCCTGCTTAGGCTTAAGCTTCTTGCTAGCGTCCACGCTAACGGGACCCTTCTTGCCACCCTGTAGGCCAAGAACGCGCTCGAAGAGACGGCGGACTTGTTCCGCATCTCCGACCTTGATCTCTAGGTCCAGAAGTACGTTCCACAAGTCAATACGTTTGGGGAACGAGGACAGGAGACCCTCGAAGATGGTACGACCGCGTTCGACATCTCCATTAGCGGAGCGGAATTCAAGCTGGGCGAACTTGGAGGTTGTCTCGACGTGGGTGTGAGCAGGGAGGGACTGAAGGGCACGCGGAAGCAGAGCCCGAGCGCGGTCGGGGGAGGCCATGGTGTCGAAGAGGAAGCTGGCGTAGTTGTAGAAGAACTTGGGGGACTGGGAGGAAACCTTCTTCTTGAGAGCGTCATAGAAGAGATCGCTTGCTTTCTGTAAAAAATCGTGAGCATTTGGAAAGAGTAAAAGTCGAAATAGATGTAGTCATACCTGGTTCTTGCCGGATTGGATGTAGATACTGATCATCCGCTCGTAGATCTCCTGGGGGTCGTTGTACTGGCAGGCACGCTTGAATACCTCCTCCAGACTGTCGTCGTCACCGTAGGTGTTCTCCATGTTCAGCAACGCAACCCAGATGTTCAACTTCTCGGCATCCTGGCCCATGGTGATAGTGCGCAAAGCACGCTCAGCAATGGCGCGAGCCTTCTCGGTCTCACCCAGCTCCAGCTGGAAAGCCATGTACTGCAGCCACAGCAGCGAGGAGTCGGGCTCACCAAGAAGGAGTCGCTCGAAGTCGGCAACAGATTGAGGGCCATTGGCGTCCAAGTCGCCGGTCCGATCCACCTGGATCTCGGCCTTGCGGCTCTTCTTCTTCTTCTTATTGGAACCCTCATCGTCGCTATCAGAGCGCGCGGCGGCATCGATCTGGGCGGTGCCGCTCCAGTCGAAACCGCTCGAACCAAGACCTCCGTTCTTGCTAGGCTTCTGCATCGGGACATCTTCATCGCCATCCACAGATTCGTCGTCCTCACTGCTATCCTCCACATCAACACCCCCCATGGACTCATCATCATCATCTTTGTCTTCGCTGTCGTCCTCACCAAGTTCAACACCCCCAAGACCGTCAATGCTCATGCTGTCCTCATCCTCGCTGTCCATTTCCTCTTCATCCTGGAAGTGAGAAGCCTTCAGTGAGAACGAGATCTTTTTAGACTCAAGGTCGATCTTAATGACCTTGGCCTTGACAGCATCCCCTTCGTCATATAGCTTGCGAGCATCTTCCACACGCTTCTCGGCCATCTCACTGCGGTGGCAGAGACCGCTGATGTTTGAAGATCCGTCTATGACAATGAAAGCACCGAACTCCTCAACCTTGCGAACCTTGCCGGTTACAATCTGACCGACCTTGAGGTCCTTGAGGGCGATGGGAGCCTTGAAGTTGGGGTCTAGAACGGACTCCTTCAAGCTCAACTGCAGCTTGCCTTGCTCGGCGTCAACAAACGTGACCTTACCCTTGACGAGCTGATCCGGCTGGAAGGAGTCCTTCCATTCCTTGAGGTACGAATCAGAAAGATCAGACACGCGGACGTAGGCGGTGATATCGTTGCTGACTGCCACAAAGAGACCGGAATCGGTGACCCGTCGGACGAAGCCGCGAATGATGTCGTTGAGCTTGACATCCTTGAGCGATGAGATCTCACGGTCCTGCACGGGGAGAGAAGAGCTCATGACCTTGGAGGGGCGCAGCGACAAGGCAATCTTCTTGTTGGACTTGTCAACTGCAATAACGCATGCTCGGAGAACCTCGTTCTTGTTGTGTACGGTAGGGTTGGCCTTGGAGTAGTCATCTGCGATGTCGGTCAGGTTGACCGCGCCGACAAGTGACTCGCCGAGCTGCATAATGAGTTGGCGCTCAGTGACCTTGGTAATGCGACCGGGCAAGACCATGCCGACGGAGATATCTCCAAATGTAAGCTTGTCATATCCCTGCTTGGCGGAGAGATTGAGGTGGCCCTTCTCGGTGTTGACAGCGGTAACCTGGACCTTCAAAGCAGAGCCGATGGGGAAGTTCTTCTCGATTTCAGTCAACAAGGACAGGTCGTCTGATGCATCCATGAAGCGGAGTCTGCCACGCACGTTGGGAGACAAGTTGACCCAGAGGCAGTCATCAGCGACATTGTTGACGAAGCCTACCCAAGAGGATCCGACTTGAACCTGCTCCATATTGAGAGGAGCAGGGTTGGTAGCCTTGACGTAGCTTGGCTTAAGAGAGAGCTCGAACACAGGGTACTTTCCAGTGCGGTGACTGATGGGGAGGAACTTGTGGTTACGGGCATCGTGAACACCAAGAAGGATTCTGGCAGAGAGGGTCTGCTTGGCCTTGAAGAATCGCAAGGGCTGCTTGCGATCTTTGATGTCTTTCCAGTCGTCGAATATTTCGGACACATCAATGCGACCCTGAACGTTGTCTGCGAGCTGAACATTGATCTGGGTTGCCTTGATGGAGACGACCTTGCACTCAACGATTCTCCCGAATGTGAAG